GGGGGGGGGGGCGGGCGCCGCGGCCGCGCACCCCGCGGCGCACGCGCACGCCGTGCTGCCGCTGCCGCTGGCGCGCAGCGTGCGCGACGTGCTCGCAGACCACCGCCCGCCCGGTCAGTACATGTTTCTTCCCTACACACCTACATTCTCATCCAGTATTTCGCTCCATCGCCGTACTAAGCTCGCTGCTCACGGTATGTATCCGCTCCTCAGTACCCATAATGGAGGACACGACGAAAGTATGCATGAACTCGTCGCCCACGTCGGCCGGCACGTCGGTGCTGCGCAGCGCGTCCGACACCGCCATCACCACGGTGGCGGAGGCCTGGGAGCTCAGCCTGGCCGCCGCCAGCGCCTCCAAGGACAAGCGCGTCAAGGACGTCAAGAACACCTCCCTCAAACAACAGAATAACAAGAAGCGACAGACTAAGACCAGCAACGACGCGTCCGTACTGTCCGTCACCGATGGTGAGTACACTCGAATATTTGCACGGCGGACACCTCCATAGACGCGTAACATTGTCAAATATTGATTTGAAATAAAATAATAGTAGTAACATTTGTCCTGTAGTTAGTACATGATAAAATATGTGATTAGATTTGATAGAGTCGTCGATCCGCGTGCAAGTGCCGGGGCTGGAGGGCTTCATCCCGCCGAGCACGACGCTGGCGCAGCTCGCCGCCGCCGTCCCTCACACCATCGGGCCACATCTCTCACTCACTCTGCATCTCAACACCAACGGCGGTATGTACCTCTGTACTCATATCTATCAATATACTGTCCAATCCTTGCATCCCTCGTCATGTTTCTTTATACTGTTGTATATTCCAATAAACTGCTTGGATTTTTAAGTGTGTGAAGTACTCTTTACGTTATGAGGATTACGTTTTTCAACATTGTAACGAAGCCATGTTATTACAGAAGCATGGTCTGGTCCGATGTGGGAAGGCGCGTCGTCAACTAGTCCGTCAAGTCCGGGCGCCGGCCCGAGCTCGAGTAGTGCAGGGACTACGAGTAGCTCGGCGGCGTCGACGGGCGGCTCGGCCATCCTGCGGTGGTTCGGGGCCGTCGGGGGCCTGGCGCTGGTGGCCGCGCGCCTGCCCCGGCCCCACGCCCCCCCGCCCGACCCGCCCGCGCTCGTCCACCACCACCACGACCTCGACTGGGTCAAACTTGATGACCCTTACGAGGTAACTACCCCATTTACACGCGAAATGTGCGAATATTTGCTATGTAACGAAGGTTTGCCTACTTACGGTTTTTGAATGTAAAATGTATGACTTATCTTATAAATTATGAAGTTTTATTGTGACATCAGTTATGAATATCAGTGTCGCAAAGTAACCCATAATAATTTGCTACGTAGAAATGTAGATTGAATTCCACATCGTCGAAGAATATGAATCAGTAGTAGAAGGAGACTTGGGAAAGTAGAAGGTAGTATAGCTTTGTGTGTATGCGCAGGAGGTAGTGGAGCTGGGCGTAGCAGCAGGCGGGGGCGGGGTCGGGGGCGGGGCCGAGGAGGGGGGCTGCACGGGCGTACCTGCGCACGCGCTGCTCGCGCTGGGGCTGCTGCTGAAGCTGCCCGGCTATGCGGACGCGCTGCTCGACGAGGGCGCCCGGGCCTGCCATCTACTGCGTCTGTTGCTCGGCGTCACGCACGACGAGGACGGACGTAAGCCATCACAAACCATACATTACTCGAAGCACTTTTAAAATAAAGAGAAAACTTAATACGTAGTTTGATAGCGAGCGTTGACTTTACTTGACGTTAGATATCTTGTGTGGGGATGTATATGTGACGTGGTGATATTGTCGCAGGGAGTATCGCGGTGGGCGAGGGCCGCGGCGCGGGCGGGGCGGGGTCGCTGGGCACGCTGCCGTTCACGGTGGTGGCGCGGCTCCTGGAGCGCGCGCCGCTGCAGTCGGCGGCGGGCCGCGCGCTGCGCCGGGCGCTCCTACAGCGCGGCGCCGTGCGGCTACTGCTCGCCTGCCTCGCTGTCTTCACGCACCACCGACCCAACTCCAATGACGTAAGTCACACTTATTGTACTGCTCATAATAACATAACATAACATCACGCCTTTTATCCTGAAGGGGTAGGCAGAGGTGTACATTATGCCACTGTACAATGTAACACCCACTTTTCACTATTTATGTTACAAGTCTCATGTAATAGGGGGTGAGCCTATTGCCATATACCGGGCACAATTCCAGACTACTACTGAGTTTTTTTTTAAAACCCAGTAATACTTTGCCCGACCCGGGAATCAAACCCGAGACCCCTTGCTCGGCAGTCGCACTTGCGACCACTCGGCCAACGAGGCAGTCCTGCTCATAATACACATTACTTTACTTTTATAAAATACGCCGCCTTATTATAATCAAAATTCCTCAGTAGAACGAACCAGTAATGTAATTCAAACACTCCACTATAATTTTTAAAACACTATAATTTGTCCGATATCGAAATTCAGTAGATCAATCCAGGTCTCTGAGTTATTGTTATACTTGAAATGTTTTAAACGCACGTTTAATGCAGTAACTACCCATAATAATAGAAAAACGATAAGTAAAGAAGCAATCTTTCGTAAATTTGATAATGTCAAATTATTTTACAATTTACAGAACAGCCAAGGTTCAAATGGATCGACAGGCAAATCTGAAGAGAAGAGCCAGCTATACTGGGCGAAGGGCACGGGCTTCGGCACCGGGTCTACGCAACAGTCGTGGAATGTAGAGCAAGCACTCGTGCGGCAAAGGACTGAGGAGGAACATGTCACTGTCTTACTGCAGGTAATATACTAATATAATTGAAGTATTCACACTCGTGTCTCGTTTTCCAGAACGAGTTGTCGTACAAAAACCAAAAATAGTGTCTTGAGAGTATTTTTTTGCTCACAGGTATTAGCATCGTATATGAATCCGGGTGAGAAGTGGCCACCGGAGGAGGGCGCGGCGGAGACGACGGACAGGGAGGACTCGGACGATTCACACGATCTACCCGCAGAGTTCATCGACCTCATCGCCAACAGCTCGCTCGTACCTGCCATCTGCTCTTATCTTAGAAACGATTCAGGTCAGTTTGGGGAATTGTTTATTATTATTTACATTTATAAAGTTTTAGCGGCAGTTCGTACCGAGACGCGACGCGGCGCCATGCGCACTTTTGATTAGATGAGTGATGTCCCCCCAGTGCTGGACATGTCCCGCCACATCCCGCTGTACGTGCACGTGCTGCGCTGCGCGCGCGCGCTGAGTGCGCTGGGCGCGCGCCGCCTGGCGCCCGCGCTGCGCCCGCTGCCGCGCCTGCTCGCCTGCATGTCGCGCACCACCAACTCGTACGCCACCAAACTGAGGTACGTACGGCATCGTAGGCCGCATGATCGCTTACCATCAGGCGAAATAGGATCAATCGTTGGCCCATCAAATAAAAAATATATATTGCACATCGGCCTTTGAAATGAAGAAATCGGCGAAGTTGCCGTGTTTTCTGACCCACAAAAACAATTGTTCAAATAAATCTTATCCAGCCCTGAACCGCCCAAACAAACCGCATTCGTGATCAACTGTAAAGTGTAAAGTAACTGTTGTAAAGTATATTCTAAATAAATTTTGCTTTTCTCATAAACTTGCCAGTCAATAGAATACTTATCTCATTGTCTTTTTGTATTTCAGAATGAGTAAGAAAAATATATTCGGTAAAATGACATATAGCCAAAGATTTAGTACTTCAAGTAATTCAGAATTATCAGAAGAGGACGAAGGACTCGCCGCGCTCATAGCAGATATACAAGTAAGCATAATATTTTGTACCTTATCTTTTTTAGCTAGTGTGTCATATTGGGTTTGCGATGATTTGAAAATGGCACAGAAATTTTCGAGAGGGTCTAAGTGTCCTGATTCTTTTTGCAGGCAACGTCGGCATTATTATGTCGGTCGGAGAATGAGGCGGAGTCTGGTCGGGCGAGCGGCGCGCCCGCACCGCTCAGTGGAGCCACGCGGGAGGCGCGCTATATCGAACTCATGCGCACCATGCAATTCGGTCAGTGCCCCAAAAATGAATAAATAATTGGAATACTATGTACTATAGACTGAGACATGTTATGATGTGTTTCCGTGTAACAGAGACGTTCGAGATGATAGCGGAGTGCGCAGAGAGCGGGTTCCGGTTCCTCGTGCCGTACCACTTCGAGGGCGCAGTGCGCGCGGCGGGCGAGCGCGCGCACCCGGCGCGCATGAAGCGCCTGGCGCAGGAGGCCGCCACGCTCGCCACCTCGCTGCCGCTCTCATACTCCTCCTCCGTCTTCGTGCGCACCGACGCAGACCGCCTCGATGTCATGAAGGTCCGGGAACCGTGCTGAACTTATCGCAAATACGTTCTAACGACCACATGTTTGTCAACAAAACCAGTGTATGAAGGAAACGACGGTATTAAATTAGTATATTTATTGTGCAGGTCCTAATAACGGGTCCGTCCGACACGCCGTACGCGAACGGTTGCTTCGTGCTGGACGTATACTTCCCTGCGGAGTACCCGGCGGTGCCGATGCTCATCAACCTGGAGACGACGGGCCGCCACTCCGTGCGCTTCAACCCCAACCTGTACAACGACGGCAAGGTCTGCCTCTCCGTGCTCAACACCTGGCACGGACGTCCCGAGGAGAAGTGGAACGCACACACCTCCAGCTTTCTACAGGTACTACTAAATCTAATAAACACTTATACTTCTTGGCTTTACTGGCGTTACACCAAATCCTTATTCCAGACAGTAAAGAAATATTTGCGTAAGAATTTAACATTTGTCTATAGTTAATTTCGGAATGTTAACACTTAACGTTTACTGTACGTGTATTCGTAGGTACTGGTGTCGATTCAGTCCTTGATCTTAGTCCCGGAGCCTTACTTCAACGAGCCGGGCTACGAGCGTAGCCGCGGCACGCGTGTAGGCTCTAGCGCCTCACTGGAGTACAACTCCAACATCTACCAGGCCTGCGTGCGCTGGGCCATGCTCGACCATCTCAGGAATCCAGAGCCCTGCTTCAAGGAGGTACTATTGCCGTACTAATTTTATTCATTTCAGTTTACTTAGAGAGAGAAAACTTCAAAGAGATTGACTAAATTATGAATGTTCACAGGTGATCCAGACACACTTCTGGATCAAACGTAATGAAATAATGCAGACGGTGGCCAACTGGATCACAGAACTCGAGAGCCAGAGCGGGGACGAGCGCACGCAGCGGAGCATACAGCTTAACCTCATGGCGCTCAAGGTAAGCAGTCTGTCGCTGTAACTGGGGTACTTGTCACGGTGTGGGCCAGTCAGTAATGAATGTTGTGTGCAGCGACACTACGTGAAGCTGCAGGAGGAGCTGGCGAAGCTGCCGGTGCCGGCGGGGCTGGAGGAGTTGGACGAGCCGTTCCAACTGCCGGCCGCGCCCGAGCCCGCGCCGCAGACGCCGGCGCCGCCTACAAACGACGAGATCGACCACGACATGGAGAAGATCGTGTCGCAGGTCCTGGACTGAGCCGGCCTCGGCGGCTGAGCGCAATGAAAGTACAAGTAGAAAGCTGCCACTGCTGCCGGTCACCCTGCGTACGCTCGCCATACGTTTCTAGCGAGTTTATTGTTCGTAAACAATTTTCTTTTTCTTTTGTAGTAGAAGATTTCGGTTTTTATAGTTTTTTTAGTAGGCGTTTAGGATTTAGTGGGACCTCCGTTTAGTTTAACACACATTGTGATACTAAAATGGGCCCGCTCGGCGCCCGGTAAGATATTTAAGCAGGAGTAGACGTACGGGCCGAAGACATCGCGACGTACTGGCGTCACGACACGTGTACATGAAATTATAATTTGATGTATATAACTTATTGTTTTAATTTTTGTATTCTAAGAATATATAATGATATGTATCGCTGTATGCTCTATAAGAGTAGTCGGAGGCGGCTGAACTATACGAAGGATAAATTGTATAACTCGTTTGGTAGTAAATTATGTACAGGCCTAGCCACCTCTTCGAGCATTGTCGGTCGGGGTCGGTGGGGTGACGAAGTTTTGTGAATGTATGTGTGTATATAGATAAATCACCAGTAGACTTGTGTGTTTCTCACTGTACTTTCATTGACTGGTAAGTTGGACGTAGGAACTTTATTGTTACATTTGATTGTGAATTTCGGAATGTAAATAAAAATTTATGTTATCGCAATGTTTTTCTTTTGTTGAATTTACGTCTGCCCGGGTATATTTATGACAAATTGTAATTTATTTAGATTATGTTGTGTTGTGTTCGAGACTAAGCTTGACTTGTTCTATATATTGCTGGGATCCAACGAGCCTCGCCCTCACTCTGTCTATACTTATATCATATATTCAGCTTTGTATTTAATTCTGACGAGCGGTAATATAATTAAACAGAACATTTTGCTAATACGTTTTTTATTGTCCATCTATTTACATCGTCACAATTATAGAAAAGGATACCACTTAAACAAATTATTATGACTGTCAACTAGCCACCCTACGAGCTAAACATTCACTTTATTAGACAACTTATTACATAAATAATTTATTTACTATCATATTCTTTCTGACTAACTAACTGTAGAAATTGTAAAATTACTCAAAATATTCCATCACAGATGGAGTTTGTGACATATTTAAAAATATTTATTTACATAAAAAAGTTTTGTTTCAAGTAATATCTATCTACATTAAATCTATTGGTATGATTGCGTGTTTCGTACATGCGCCCTGTGGAGCGCCGTGGGGCGCTGACACGAGTAACATTCTATTACATTATGGCACATGAAACAATAACGAATTTACCCAGGACTAGCGACCGACAGGAGAGCGGGTAACGAGATAAAGATGTACATCTAATTACCTTTGCAGTTAGCAATAAGTAACTGTTAAGGCAATTATGTTTATATAGACGGCAGCATGCTTGCTGTTCAAGTCAATTATTAACATTGCAAACTTAACTTTACATAATTAAGTAGTGTTCGAGTATTATTTCTACCCTAACATCGCTGTCGGTCGCGTCTGGCTACACTTATACTATGCAAGGTGCTGCAGCCGTTTACTTCTTCTTTTTCAAGGGCTGGTCTGCTTGAAAGTCTGCATCCTGCGGGTCGAGCTGACCTGCCTCCACGCACGACTTACAGCAGAACCTGGGAACAAAGAAATGTGGTTAAATGTGTGCTTCCAGTGTACGTAAAAGGGTACTTATAATCTATGCCATTAGGCATAAATAAGATTAATGAACCTTAATTAGATTTATGAATCTTATTTATGGTTTTGTAAAGAAGTGAACATAATGATTTGGGACATCAATAACTTGGTAAAGGTAACTTTGAAGTCGGCAAAATTAATTCCTACAGCTATTTATGAAATTAAATTATATAAAAAATACATTGTTTCACATTAACTCGTCGAGTACCGGTTTTGTAGACACAATTATAGAACAATAGGTTGCGGTCACCGGTGACCGCTTGGTGTTTGACAGTTTAATAATAGGTAAAGGCAAACAATACGCAAGTACTACAGACTACCATAGCAGCTATTTTAAAATGATGCAGTGTACAATTACTACACTCAGAATTAAACTACGTACCTACTTACATAAATCTATTGACCTAATTGATCGATTAACCTCACTCAAGATATACTGTATCGATAACCGTTTCTAAGTGAGTGCTTGCAACCGCAAGCACTTCGGTTTGATTTCCAGATCAGGACTAAATAGGTATTAGAATGTTTCAGCTTTTAGGAAATTCTTAGTTGAGTCTAGAATTATGGTGCATAGAGGTAAATATCTCTTTCAACGTTATAATACTTACGTGGAATAATACTTGTGTCTGCAGAACTTGCTGCGCACGATCAGGTCGCAGTTGGCAAAGAATGGATTGTCCGTGCATTTAGCTGGTACCAGCAGCTCTGTGGATAAAAAGGTGTAGGTTAGCCATTAACTAAGTATTTATGCCGCGGACTACTTAACGGGTTGCCGGGGCTCCAGTTTGAACGGCAGGAGTAGAAACGGGGTGGTTTTTAGTCAGTAAGAATCTGACACTCCCTCTCGCCTCACCCAGGCGGGAGCAGTCATTTAAAATTTTTCCCACCTTAAAAAAGCTAAGTATTTATTATAGCAACATCTAGGTTACACATGAAGTCACATGTTTGATTGTGCTATGTTACGCTGATTATACCCACATCATCATCATCAACAGCCTATAAATGCCCACTGCTGAGTGCCCAATGCCACATTAATCACCACGCTTGCTCAATGCGGGTTGGTGATTTCAAACTTATAATTAGAAGGTTTCCTCACGATGTTTTCCTTCACCGTTTGTCAGTGGTGTCTGAGTAACTTAGAAAGTACATATAACTCGGGAAAAGTCACATTGGTACTTGCCGTTGGTAGGTTTCGAATCCGTGCCCTCATGCATAAGTGAGCGTTTTAAACCTTCGGGTCACCACGACACTTTAATTATACCCACAAATCCTGAGAATTTGATCTTTCTGACATGGCTAAGTTCTCCGCTGTTAAATGTGTATCTAAGTGTGAAATACTTACGCTGCACGTTGACCTGCGCAGTGTCAGTTTCCGAGGTGTAGACGTTGCTAGCGTGGCATGCGTATAACCCGCCGTCAGAGACTGTCACTCGCTGCACCGTCAGCCGGGATACCACCTCGCTACCTGCAGGCGAAACATTGCACATTAGTAGGTAGTTAGTGGTGAAGATATTCTTCCGTGGCATAGACATTTCTGGAAGTACCTATTTCGTGACGTAGGATGCATTTGTTCTCGATATTAGATACACTCGTGTTCTAAAAATGAAGCCATTGTAGTACCTAGATAATACTATGAATATTTTAATTATTGATATTCTCTAATTGTTCAAAGTAGATACAGTTCATAATTTTAAAAGTAAAAAAAGCTCTTGTAAGTACATAGAACTTTAACATCAAGTTAGAATGTAGTAACAACTTCGTTTATCAAAATTCGAATAGCGACAGGAAAACCCGTAGGGTAAAATTAAGGCCAGAATTAGCTGTTACTTATTTATAAATTACATACAAGGAAAAATTAATGTTTAGGTACGTAAAACAGAGATTTATTGAATAGGTATGCATTCTAAAACTCGGGTATACATATGTATGTGCAATTTTGCATGTAGGCTTACAGGAGCATTATTTCAATCAATAACGAAGCCTTTCAACTATTCAGTTAGATAAGTTGTCAGGGGCAATGCGGCCTTATCATCTTAGAAAAGAATACACCGTACAATCTATTCCGTTTTTGTCTTGAAATAAAATGGTTCGCTCACCGCTGTCTTGGTAATACAATAACGTTACTAAAAAAAACGACGAAAACGAAACAGGATTTCACGTCAGATAATATACGAATATTATCTCAAAATTATTTAGCTTCTTAGGAACATTGAGCACATAAATATACTAAACTAACTTAATAATTTGTGTGGTAAAATGGTCAGAACTTACCAGTAATAAGAATCCTATCGTTGCGCTGAAGACGCACGCCGTCCTTCGTCCAATAAACATCTGGAGCCGGGAACCCATCCACTTCGCATGTGAGCTCCAGGTTTGCGCCGACGTTCAGCGTGGAGTACGTCGACGACACGTGCGCGCTCACCGGCGCTATACACACAATTATGCATTACAATATAGTATCACTAAATCCTTGTTAATAAGTAGGTATTTATAAATATAACAACTCCGAACAAGATGCCTACTAATTATGTTACTATCATATGATATATTGTGATTTATAAATTATTGCCATGAGAATCAACTAAATCATGTAAGTAATAAGGTACTGTTCATATAACTAATAAACGTCACTGTTGGTATTACTATGTGGACGCCCGATTAGTTTCGAGCTCACCCGGGGCCTTTAAAGATGAGCTGCGTACGCGCCAATACAACTTAACCGCGAAACATTATCCTGTTTTAGAAGTGCATTTACTAGGCATTTATTGTAGTGGTACTATGTCGTACTAAAATATTTACCTGTTGGTCGGTGATATCCACAAATACTTGGATTGTACAATGAAACTTGTCGTTCTATTGTTTAATCAAAAATGAAATATCATATAATTACATATAGCATTAATTACAATATAATTTACCACCTTTTATTGAAGAATCTTTTTGAGGGAAGCACAATTTGTATTATTACCTATGTGTTTATTTTTGTACCTACTTCAATAAGTATGTGACTTCAGAATATTTCCTTGATTAAACGATCTTTTAAAACAATTATTAGATAGAAAGCATTAATTATATACAGCTGTAACACTTATGTGCTTAACGTAAAACATAAAATTGATTCAGGATTAAAATATGACTCGATCTCTACGATTCTCGATACCAAAAATGATTTGATCTCTTCGATTCTCGATACTTTTCATCATTATAATAATAAACAACTCTATCTTCGCCCTTACTTCCAAAAAGTGGTGGGCAAAGATGTTCTATATATTTCAACAGTTTTATTTTTAGTCTCATGGTTAGTTAGGTAGGTACCTGATTCACTCATAGTGGCGATGCTGTACCAATACCACAGTAGGTACCACTTACCGGACATAGATTCAAGTTCTATTAAAATTAAAAAAATACACACTATTACCTACTGAATAATTTTGTATCAATTTCAAAACTTTGTGTGGGGTCACAGTAACACATAAATACAATACATAATAGGTACAATATTTACATAAAAATAACACTATAAATAAATAATTATTATACATAATACACACGACACGACAATGTTGAATGAGATAAGGCGTTTGTCATTCGAAAATTCGGAGAAACTTTATTTTTATCACATCCTAACGAACACAATGTAATACAATGAATCATCAGATCACCGACTATTTACTTATACATACCAGCTTTCTAAGTCCGTCATCACTGATCCATCTAACTTTAAACATTACCAAAAACACGTGCTACCTCTATTGCGAAGAACACAAGCTGGATACATAAACATGCTTCATGCAGACAAGCCATGCTGTATATTAGTGGAGATAGTAGATTGTTGCTCTTACGAATCTCTGTTTATCTTAACTAAACTGCGATTTGTTTATAAACTTAAACTTATTACATTAACCGGTTCTCTATTGTTTACTAGAAATTTCTCTACTATGGAACCATTAAACATTTTTGTTATTTATTACGTAT